CTGTTCAGGGTATTATGATGCAGCAAATCAAGTTTTAATACTGAAAGGATCTGTAGGAAAGTGCTGCGTGTTCACTTTGGTCTGTAAAACAGAATGAACAGGTCTTCTTTTGTGGGAATTTTGCTTTAATTACTGGAACTTCAGCTGCAAACTATAGTTAATTTTTTTTTCTTTTACACAGAGGAGTTAAGGGATTTAGAGATCCCTGCAGAGTCAGCACAATTACTAATATGAAAGAGGAATAACATGTTTGTGGCTTATTACTTTTTTGTCTATCATATGCTATCTCCTGCCCGTTGAAAGAACTTCTGCTTCATGTGAATGCCATGGGTTGGTATCTTGTTTACCTCATCAAACACTTAACTGGCTGTTGCCCAGAGTCTGGACACCTTCTAATGATGTTACAGTGTTAGCCTTGAAAAATAAGCTGTGCTTGATCTTTATGTCAGAATGTGCACTAGCAGTAGCTAACAGTGACTATCACTGTGCTGTTTTGAAGTGCTGTTTGAAAGCACAGGAGAAAAAATAAAGTTCAGTAAATTATGTTTTCAGGTTTTGTGTTTTTTTGGGGAAGGAAAAATAAAAAAAAAAAATGCATCTTTTTTTTTCCCTCTAGCAAGTCATAGACTGTCATGTAGCATTCATCATGCTGCTTATGCTTCTGTTATCAGGAACTGAAAAAGGATCCAGACCTTGGAAACAAAATCAACCACAGTGAGGTAGTCACATGAGGCTTGATTGTGCAAATACTTAAATAATCTTTGTGACAGCAGGGGATGTTTGAAAACTTCAGGCTTTGGGTTGCCAGCTGTGTGAGACAAGGATGGATTATCTTCTTGGCTGGCATCCTACAAACCTGCTGAAGTCTAAGGCTTTCAGAATGTTGTTCATGTCTTCTTCCTCTTTACCTGATGATGTGCACATCTGAAGAATTACACAAGTCTTATAATAATAGGAGTTAAGCAGATTAAGCAAAGATTTATTGTAAACCACAGAATAGATTTCCCAGAAGAGCTGGTCACTGCCTGTCAAAAGTTGTTGGGGTCTTAATTGCTTTAAGAGGCACTGTGCTATTCATTTCTGACTGCAATTTTATGTTAAATACTCAAATGATTAGAAAGAAAGAAATCCAAAGGCTGATAGACTGAAGGAGCTGTTCCTTACTTTCCAGCTGTCTCAAGGGCTGCATAACAAAGCCTCATGGGCTCACAATAGACATAGATTCTTATGTCATGTTGGTTAATATTTTATTTCCTAAAGCCACATGCCACTTGTTTTTTTCAGTTCTGTCAAGCAAGAGAGGGTGTTTGCTCTCGTTTGTTTTGAGTAGACTAAGTGGATCTGTGCACTTTGGGATACAAATTATGTTTTTAATAACATCCTTTAGGGTTAGATTTATGGTTAATAATGTTTCTTTGAATCCATTTAACACTAGAAAAGTAAACCAATTGGAAATTTAGTTCAAACAGACTTGATAGAACAGGGAATTAAGGGAACCAGAAAAAGCATGTGTTTGCTCTGTGTCACACAGTACTTCCAGCTTTCACAGCTGCTTTTTACTGGGTGAGTGTAACTCCAAACCTCTGTATCCAGCCCAGGAGAGACACTTTAAGCTGTATTTTTGCTAGTTATTGAAGCAGCCAGGTCCCTTCTCTGACCTGTGGGACAAGGGAGACAGCACAGCTGGAAACACTGCTCCCCTCCCCAGCCAAAACCCAAAAGGCTGCCTCAGTTACAGAGCCAGCTGGAGGCAGCATGTCACCTGTCCTGTCCCCACACGGGGGGCAGGCATCACCTGGGACAGCTGTACTTCTCTACTTGTGCTTTGAGGCCAAGGCTGGGCTGGCAAACACCAGGAGTGTTGCCTGAGCTCAGCCTCTGCTTAGTCAGCTGCCCTGACAGGACCTTTGCAGGACAGCTTGTGGTGAGCGTGTTAGGGCAGTGCACTGCAGCAGGGCCATACCAGACCCTGCTGAGAAGGCTCTGAGCAGCTCTGGGAAGTTGCTATCATGTAGCTGAGGCCTTCACAGGAAAGAATGTGAAGTTTTCATCAAAGGTGTAGTGTTTTCTGTCCAAAAGCAGCACGCTAGACTAGTAAAACTGAAAACTGATTTAGACCCTATTCTACCTGAGGATATAATATAGAATATTCTACCAACTGTTGATTAGTACATTTAGATCCAAATTTCCTGTTGATGAAGCTCTGTGCTATGCATCAGAGGCAGCTGGTTCCTAGTGCAGCATCCTCTAGGTTGTGCTGTGGCAGGTCCAGTGAGAGCTGTTGTATCAGCTCATTACCTCCTGCAGCAGGACTGCCTTTTTTTTTCTGTTGTGGATCACCTTCTGTCTAAGTTGTATCATTAATAGCTCAAGGTGCAGGTTGCTTGTTCCTCTAGGCACTAGGAGGGCTTATAGAGAAGGAGAGCCTTGGACAGCATTCTCAGTTTTAGCAGAGGATGGCTGGCATCTTGATGCTGAAAACTATCACTAATGAATTTGATCACTACTATCTCTGTTTCTGCTCTTTTTCCAATATATTTGACAAATTATCAAGAGTGTCCACCAATAAAGAATGCCAGGCAGGCTGTGCTGCAGGGAGTCACTGGACTTCTTGGTTTCTGTGTGTTTCAGGTTGCAGGTGGACAGAGTGTGGCACAGGCCCCACCTTTGAGCCACAGGAGGTCAGTCACCTAATTACTTGGCAAGATGGTCGCTGCAGTCCCACCTTCCTCTCTTCTCTTCCTCTGCCACAGTCACATGTCAGCTTGGCTACAGGATTTGGATGTGCCACAGTCTACTGGTATTTAAAGAAGAGGTAAATAGTTTCTCAGAAGGGCTTCTGGATCAGACTGTTTCAAAGGCAGTTTCTCATCTTCAGTTTATGTGACAATTAGTATTCCTGTGGCATGTTAATGCCACTTTGGGCTGAGGGGCTACGTTTCTCTGTAATCATAATATGAATTAAGTAGTCAAAAATATTTAAAATGGCAGCATTCAATATAAACTACGTGCAACTCAGCATACAAGAGTCTCTGACCTCATAAAAATACTACAGATTTCTTTAATAAAAAGAAAAGCTTTTAACCACATAGTAACAGAAACCTTGAAGTATCCTAGAATAATTCTGGTCGTTCCTGCCGCTCAGAGGAGCTCTGATGATGCAGTTTGAACACTATCATTTTCCCTTGTGCAGATTGTGAAAAGTACAAACATGCCTCAAACATTAACAGAGATGCTTTGGTTGCTGCCAGATGCTAAAACAAACAGTTCCTAAATTAATTTCAGTTCCTTCCTTCATTAGACACTGAGATCCTTATGAGGTGTTAGGAATGGTCTGCTTTGTTGTGGCATGTTTGCAGAGGATGTAATTTTTCACTTATGTCTTGGCATCAGCAAGATTTGCACTTTGGTTTCATCTGCAGTATGCTGCACTTCTCAAAGAGCCAGTGTCTTGCTCCTCAGTGAGCTCAGTTTCATAAGTGGGGAAAAGCTTTCTTCCAAATACATGGAGTATGCCAAGATCTTGCTTTAGAGCTGTGTAACTCATTGGTCCAGCTGCTTCATTCTCTTCCCATTTTGTTTCACCACCATCTTCCACCATCAGATTAATATTGCTGCTGTGATAATGGCTTGGAAAACAAAATCCATTTAAAAAACCAGACCCACCCAATGAAGTGCAGGTTGCTCACTGAGATGGCTATTTAATTTTTAGGTGGGACTGCACATGTCTGAAGTTCCCTGTAGCAGTGGAAGTAATCTTGCTCCTGCTGCCTTACAGGACCCCTCACTGGTTTTGTTTTTAAAATGTTCTGTTTAAAAGTTCAGGTTTTCTGGAGTCTTATGATGCAGCTGGCACCATCCAGGACTATGTGGTTGCCATGTTGTGTGACCTGAAGAAGCCACTCATGTCTGTCCAGAATGCTGCTAGCTGGGGATACTTTAACTGCAGAAGCAAGAGCTGGAACACTGACATGTAAGTGCCAAGGTCGTTCAGTGGGTTTTATGCATTGCTTGTGTCCAGCAATGTGAACTCCTCTTTGGGCCATGAGGGTGAAAGTGCTACACATAAAAAGTGGTTGAAAGTTAGTCCTAATCAGTTGTAGTGTGGCCTGTGCCAAAGAACTATTGAGAGTTTGCTCTGGTTTCTAAGGTATATATATTTAAATGGTTTAAAATCTGGCACAGTATTTTTAGAAATATTTGAGACAGCAGAGCCAAGAGACTCAGCATTGAGGCCTCATGTACCAAATTATCCCCTCCTTATCTGTGGTGGGATGGGATGGACAGGTGCATGCTTGCAACATGATATTACTCTCTTGTTCTTTCAGCTGAGCTTCTTCATATCTACTAAGACTTAATTGTGATAATACCTAAGAGTTATTAGGCTACAGGAAGTCTTCTAGTGAATAAGTTTGTTTCTTTATTTACGTATTTTTATGATTTGCTCTTTCAGGGCTGAGTGCTAAGGCCTTATGTATTTCAGGGCTTAGTTTAGGCCAGGACTCCAAGATGAAAAGATCTGCTCATGGAGGTATGGAAGAGTGACAGCAGCTTGCATTTGGCTGACTGAACTTTTACTAATCTGATGTTGTTGTAGTGATGTAGTGTATCGTGCAGTTGATTGTATAAGGGGTTAGCTCTGTGATTTGGTTTTGAACCACTAACTGCATGACAGCTTAAGGTTCTTTGACACCTAGAAGCTGCATTTTTTGTTGCTGTTTTTATGACTGTCCCTTGGGCCCTGGACCTGCTTGTCCATGTGACATCAGGAGGTTAAACTTGCTGAACACATACTGATGTATAATCTCAGGGAACCTCCAAAACACAAAACTACACCAGCTACTAGGAGAAACCTGACTCTATCCCAGCTTCAGATTGCATATAAAGCAAAGCTCTTTATTATTCTAGACAATTCTGTGTGCCCATCCCATTGAGCTGGAATGCTTCCCTTGTCCAAGACAAAGCAGGTGAAAGCATCCATAAATCCAGCAGCCACACATGTATGGCCAGGTTCATCTGTGACTTCAGGGCTCTTTGGAGCCATGCTGCACACTCACATACTGCTTTCCTGCAATAACCTTGTTCTGATTGCAGACTGCAGACATCCGGCTTTCCTGTTCACTTGCTTCCAGAGGTGGGAGAGCCTGGCAGTATTGCAGGCAGGACAGTCTGTGCATGGCATGGAATACCCAAAGGAGCAAAAGTAGGGATTGCTCTGGGAGATTTCCAATGCTCTGTTTATTCCTGTCTGACTGAAAGGACTGATGCAGGTATGCTCAGCTTGATATCTCACTTGGTTTTCTTATTGTCCTCCTTCAGGGTAACCTAGTAAAACACCAGTTTTATTTGTATTTTCTTCTTGTGTGTTCTAGTTCTTAATATCAGTACCTCTGCTCAGCTGACTGTCTCAATGCCCCTGGGTTTTCAGCCTCCAGAGACACCAGACCCTTCCTCACCTGTTACTTATTTCCCCTACTTTGATGGTGACTACTTGGCAGTGGCAGCATCACTTAATGGGGGCAACGTGCTAGCAACGTTTGTGGACATGGTGGCACGATGGACAGAAGAGCTAGGTAGGTGATTTCAAGGATAGTTTAAGCTTAAAATTGAGGTTGATCTGCAAGGTAAAAAGAAACTAAGGCAAAGGAACAAGCCTAGAGCTGTTCTGTTGTGTCATATAAGGAACAAGGATATAACTCTTGGGTCATGCTTCCTAGATCTCTGGAATTTCCCAGTGGAGCTTGTGAACATGCTGGGACAATCATGCTTGGATTCCACATCACATAGCCTCTAGGTTTTGGGGTTTCTTTTGTTTCAAGAACAGAAGAGAAATATTTTTTGCAAGCTATTTTTCAAAAGGAAAGGTCAGCAAATTTGAGGACAGCCTCCAATTTTGTATGACTGCGCTCCAGAAGAGTCTTGATTAGATCAGTTGCCCTTTGGTACATATTTTGCAGCACTCTAATGCATTTCAGACTCAAACTCATCTAAAATCCTCTAAGTGCTTTAAACGTGATCTTCACAGGATTTTTAATAGCCTCTTGGGTTTTGCAATACAGAAGTAAGATGTGAAATTTTTATTTCAGTGAGTACTTGAAGTGAACTTTCCATTCACATGCTCTCCAGCCCCTGAAGGTGACGTCTGCCGTTAATGCCTTCAACCATGGTGGTTGGTGTAACTTAGCACAGTAGGCAGAGAGCAATAGCTGTATTATCAAAAAAGGCATTTTCTGTAATCAGAAAAAGATTTGAAGTATCACAGATTCTAGATACAGTTGGATGGGGGAACTGTGGTTGATAAGCCTGGAAAAACATTTACCTTTGGGGCATGAAAAAAGATAGACAATATTTTGCTGAGCAGGTGGATCAGCAGCCATTTTAAATCACCACCTGTAAGATACAGTAAACACCTTCACATTGCTAACATGGTATTTCCCATCTGCAGGACTTCAGGTGCAGGAGTCTGCCATCTATACAAAGATAATCAAAGCAGCCTTGGCCCAAAACGACAGCAAACTTTCAGTCCACCCAACCGTGTTTGGAGAGAGACACATTCCCCAGCAGCTGGCATCAGTGAGCAATATTGGTGCCTCTGACCTCTCCCTGGGTCACGTAACCAGAGCTCTGTGCAGGGGCATCGTTGGAAACCTCTGCTCCATGTTACCTGTGCAGCACCTGCTGGAGATGGGAGTGAGGAGGATGCTGGGGAGCGGGAGTGCCCTTGCCAGGAACGAGGTGCTGAGGCAGGAAGTGGAAAGGATTTTTCCATTCCCTGTGCTTTATGGGAAGGATGTCGATGCTGCTGTGGGGGCTGCCATGGTGATGTTCCACAGAAAATAGGCATTGCTTGGAATGGCCTGAAAAGCAACTGCTGCTTTCTTTTTCCTGGCTGTACAGCATTTCTTCCTTTATGTTTTCTGGAGTTGTATTCAGTATGCCATCTCACTCATTACAGTGGGGAAAAAAAAAAGCTTGCATTTAATGTCTGCTTCTGGGCGTATGCATTTCATTGCTCTGTCATCCCCATTTGTGAAATGAGAAGTAATTACCACATTAATTTCACTGACTGACTGGGAAAGATCCATCAACTTTCTGCATCAAACGATGTTTCATTCAAGGCTCATTTTCCTAGTAGAAAATATATTTAGAAGGACTAGGAGAGATGAGCAGCTGTCTGTAACTTAGTCTGATGCTTTCATTAGAGACTTGTCCTTAACTGTCTCACCATATACATACAGAAAGGCAACAAACCAGGATGTCAGCCTTGTCTGGGGAGTTGGGTGGCTCTTGCATGGAATGACTGCTAGTTTTCGTGTTGCCTGTTGTCTCTGTAAAAGATGGAATACAACCTTGGCTTCCAATGTCCACAAAACAATCCAAATAAAATGTGGAGGATTATTGCTGTGGCTACACAGGTTGGGTGCAGTGGTCTACAGTCAAAGGCATGGCTAGGCCAGTACCATGATGGGAGGTGCCTGGAATGCAGGGCTTATGTCTGAGTGGAAAATACATTTATAGGGTGGGAGGTAACTGTTTTCCATATTTGGCAAGTATAATTATTTTTTGTATGGTTTTTGAGTGATAAAGTTGATTAGAGCCTCTGAAACAGTCAGAACTGGTGATAAACCAGAGAAGCTGGCAAACTCAGAGTTACAAAAACCCAATTTTCATGTCTTTCAGCTTTGATTTCCCTTTTAAGCTCAAACACAATTAACTTATTGAGACATGGTCTGCAAGAATAATTTGTTCTTATACTACAGTGCATAGCTATTTTACTGTATTTAATCTAAAGGTGTCTGTGACTCTACCCTTCAAGCATTGTGTAAAACTGAGTTTTAATACAGCACCTGCTAGGCTGTAATCTGGATTTAATGGTAAGTATTGTTCATGTGAATTCCCTTAAAATTTCCAAGGTTTCATCACCCTGTGTTATGTTCTTAAAATTTATTTCTCACCCTACTCTTTGTTTTAACATGAAAACATTTATACTTTTATCTGTCTAAAACAAGATGGATGTACACCTTTTTTGCTCAAATGAGATTGGGAAGCAGGTAAGAGTTTCATGTTATCCAGATACTGTTGCAAAAAGCAATGGAGCACTGCTGGTAAGAAGGAATTAACATCTTCACAGGAAATGCAGGCAAGGAAGCTGATGAAGGAGGCATCAAAACTCAGAAAAGAGCAGAAAGCTACTGAAGTGTGTACATCCAAACACAGTAAGACTGAAAGGAGCTGATGCCTGGAATGGGAGAAGAGAGAGAAGAAGCATTTAGCAAAAGGGACCAGCAGGAAGCTAGAGACTGAGTATGGAGACTCTCCACTGATCCATGTAGTTTTCCTTTTGGATCTCTGCTTTGGGAGTGGGGGAGGATTTCATTGCAGTGTCTAATGAGCTGCACTGCTCAGCAGAGCTCCAGGAGCACCAGCCAAGGACCTGGCTTATTGGTAATCTATACTTATGCATTAATAAACAGGCATTTTATCTTGAGTACAGTGCCATAGGGTGTTTTAACTAGTATAATTGGTTTGCTATTAAATAAGCAAACCTATTTTTTTTAACATAGATATATAGATGTCAAGACTAGAAAGATAGTTAGCTTTTGCAAAATAAACCAGATAATGTCACTGAATATTTTCATAATCTAATTTGAAACCTCATGAGCTAGAGGTTTGGAGGTTGATTCTAGCCTGACAGCTACAGCCTGTGAGCTCAGCTTGCTGGAGAAGCTGTTTTTCTAGTATAGTTTTTGGCAGAAATATCTTATGTATATTATATATTTAACAGCAAATGGCACAGTTCTTAATTTTTAAGGGTATGTGATCCATCCTGGATTAGTTAAGAATAATTTTTTCATAATATTTAAAGCTGTTACATACATATATATAAAATTTAAATAAAACACAGTAGGAATATGGAATGATGGAATGGCTGTAGTACTTTCTGTCATTGTTTTTCCCTCAGCTCTGTTCAGAATCAGCTTATCTTTAAAATACCTGGTTGGGCTTCACAACAGCCACCCAAGATAGATGTCCAGAAAAAGATGACTGATCTCAGAGAAGAGCCAATGGCAAAGTTTTGTAAATTGACAAGAAACCATGACCCACAGAAACAATTGTTGCCTGGTGGTTTGGGGTGTTTTTGAAAGCTTGAGTGTATTTACAAAGAGGAAATCTGGAGAAGAGTATCCATTACTAAATGCAATTAAAGGGGAGGGAAAAACAACAGCAACTTACTGCAATTCTTGTAAAGAGCTTTGCTAAACTCCTGGGAATAGAAGCCACTGATGCTTCTGGTTCCAGAACTATTCTTAATGATCTTATTACTCCGTTCTCATGAACTTCCTTTGATTCTAAAAATCAGACACATAAAACACTTGTGCAGAAGAGTGAAGTGGAGTGGAGAAGCAAACTCTGAGTTCTTTTCAGTCCAGCCACCTTGAAGGAGGAATATCTGGCACCAAATTCCTGTAGATCAGAGAGTGTTTACTGAGGCTGGACTGTTTTGCCGAAGACGGGATTTTTTGCAATATTTGTAAGTTCTTGCATGTGTATCTGGATAAAAAGCTTGTTAGTTTTTTGTAACTCTGTTTATTATAAGTTGTGATGTGGTTAGACATTCTATCAAAAATATCTCAATTTATTGTATCAAACCACAATGTACGTAGGTTTCAAAGAGTTCGGGTTGGTTCTGCATTTTTTTAGGATAGATATTTTTATGTTTTCTTAAGGAATCCTTCACCAGAATGTTGAAGGTTGTTTCCTTTGTGAATTCATACTCGTGAGGCAATGCAGCTTTGCCTTCAGCATCAGTGATACTCCTAACAGGGCTTAGAAACAAAAGCACATATACTGACTAGTCTAGGTTTGAGCAGATTTCTAAGGAGACAGGATTGCAGATTTTAATATTGCACCTATTCTGTGGTAAATAAGTAATTCTCTTTTCCATAGCCATCTCTGACATCTTTGGTTCAATCCACATTAATTTAAATAAGACAGAAATTTAAAATTGTACATGTCTGTATTCCCAGTGTATTTTTTTCCATTTTTTTAATAGAAGTTTTATAACTTTTTCACTGAAGCAGTTGTTCTTCTGTATTTTTAGTATCGGATTATAAATGGAAATATTTTTCTGTATAGAATTTCTTATTTGTAGAACAATTAATGAGATATTATGTTATACTTTCAGAGTGATTCTACGGACACAAAGAACTTGAAAGGTGAGCTCAGAGGACATAGTGAGTTAAACTGCAGTCATTAGTATTTTGTCTATAAAATGCTGTTTTGCTTTCAGTAACCCTAAATGTGCAAGTTTGCAAATTGATGTTTTCTTTACGTGTGTATTGTACAAAATTATAGAAAGTGCAGACAAAAGTTTTTCCTATCCTACTTAGACAGGAATATATTATTGACTCTTAGTGTAAATATTAACCAGTCCCACAGAACTAAAAATCTAGCTTTTATGTACAGTGTAGGCTTGCAGACAACGCCTCAGAATATTTTAATGAAGAGAAACAACCTTGAAGTGTGTTTATGACATGTTCACAATGAATATACAGAGACTACTGACCACTGTCACTTGTCTTTTTAAAGGTTTTGTAACATTCCTGTGCTCAAAGCCATAAGATTTCCAAGCAATCTAGGATTTCAGAGTGTGTTCTTAAGGCTGATCAGTTCTCTCTAAAAGCCATCTATGCAGCAGTTCAAAAATGATGCCTTCCTGTCTCCACTGCTGGAATTCCAGAATATTCTGCATGCACTGGCACAGATCAACTTTTGTGTAGTGAAAAGTTTGATAAGAAAGAAAAAACAACAACAAAAGCCTGTTTTACTTCCAGTCTAGTATATTTGTTAACTTTTATAAAATTCTATGTGGTTATAAATCAGACAAGATCAGATATGTGGTCATACAGTCATCCCTTTCTGCCTGTCATGTTTGAGGTGACATCTCCCAAGAATCACACACCTCAGCTTTCATGTGGCATTGCTGTAACTCTGGTAAAGCCACCCAGTGATCATTTTCCTACATGCAGGAAGCCCTCCTGGTAGAATCCTGAGAAGATATTGTGGCACGAAATAGGAAGTAGGGAAGAAAAACAGGGATTGTTCAGGTCTGAGATTTATTCAAGCTGTAAGAATGATAGGAAGCACTAGTTTTAAGCAGAAGTAGTCAGCTCTGCAGTGAGATGACTGTCAAGCTCTGGGACACCCTGGCTTGCTTTCTCCATTCTGAAATGGGTATAAGCAGTGGGCACAGTAAGAACCTGGAGGTAATGACCTACTAAACTGTTCTGACCCTGGGCACAGTGAATATGTGTCCATCTGACTCATTTCTGGGATGAGAGCAGCCAATCCATTCCCTGCTGTTTCTGGAGATTAGTCCTAGGCAGAAGGGTGCTCATGTCCCTGTAATGTGCTGACTTGAGGTGTTGTGTTGTTTCTCCCAGACTGCCGGCTCATCATGTCTTCCATCCTTGGCAAGATGAAGAAATTTGGCAGTTCTGACATGGAGGAATCTGAAGTGACAGATGAACACACAGATGGGGAGGACTCCACACTGGGGACACCTGACAGCCTCCAGGGTTCACTCAGCACCAAGGTGCAACCACCCAAAAGCAACATCTTTGCAAGACGGGGGCGGTTTGTGATGGGGGATAGTGACAAGGACATGGCTCCCATGGACTCCTTTTACCAGGTGGATCAGGTGGTGGCCCCTTCTGTCATCAAATTTCATGCCAGTGTGGAGAGGGGGAAGCTTCACAAGTAAGTTTGCCTTGTAAGATTTGGTTCTAATGAACAGTTTGACAGCTGCAAACTGTTTCTTAGCTCAGCATTTATTCTGTTCACATGAGCATGCCCATTTTTT